GCTGCGCGAAGATGAAAGGTGCAAGAGCGCACGCGCGCCCTGGGCGGCATTTAAAGGCCGCCTGGGTCCGGCTCGGGAACCGGGAACAGGGCGGGGACCCGGCTGGGCTGCACGGCTTGCTCAGCTTGCCCCTGCCCCTTGGCCATTGGACAGTGGCAAGAGGCTGGGGCGGGAGGGACGGGCCCTGTGCGTACGGGTTAGGGCTCGCGGGAGGGCCAGGGCCTGGTCGGCCCTCCCAGGAGTGAGGGTGGGTGGGGCTGGGGGTGATGGCGAAGTGAGGGGGCTTGCCAGGTGACAGGTGCTTGTGACATCCCCGCCCCTCCCTTCCAGCCAGCCCCCTTCTTTCTCGGTCACGTCCCGGGGCAGGTGGGACAGTGGAGGCCAGGTCAAGGGAAGACTGGGTTTGGGGGTATTATTCCAGAGCTGGAGATTTCTTTAAGAGAATTCCAAAGAAGTGGGAGGAAAGAGCCGTTGGGCTCTCTGGTAGAAAGATAATGAAAGGTCTCCAGGTTTGCATAATTAAATATTGGGCCCCGAAGCCAAAGGCAGGAGGATTCTCAGTAGGCACTTTATATCCCGGGAGATTAGCCACAGAGCAGGTCCTCTCCTGGGGAACCTGGGGCTCTTTCAGGCCGGGGTCTGGCTCAGTCTTACCAAAGAGCCTCCATTGGGTCCTGTTTTTGTATGAGACACCTGCCCAGTCCAGGGTAGTACATTTGTCACTGAAAATCTTTGTAGGAGTCATTTCCAGGGGGTGCACCCCTCTTTATTCTAAGGCACAAATTCCTTTATGGCATTTCCACATGAGTATGATTATGTAACTTCTCAGATAAAGCTGTATCAACATACCTCTATTAGGTGACATCTTGGTTTAAACATTCCATTGTGTGAATCATCAGGGTGTTGACACTAATAAGCTGAGAGCATGTGTGACCTGCTGCAATCCCAGAGGGGCCCTCTCTGTTGCTGGCTGTGTGGCCTGGAACATCACTGCGGCTTTTGTGTCTTAGCTTTCCCTTTACGGACCAGAGCTAATTGTGGTAATCTCAGCCCAGTCGGAAGAATTACCTGCACACGCCTGTAAGCCACAGTCATCCTTGTGTTCTCTGAGTTAGGCACTGAAGTGCTGCACCGTTGTGGCTTACATTTTTGCACTTGTTTACCAATCTTAGCTCAACATCATACGTTATTGATTACTTTAAAATATTAGGCAGTAATAGAAAACTATTGACATTTTGAAAGTGTATTCAGTATATCTCAATTTCTGAGAGTCTGGTATCATTGAAGTTGTCCTTAGCTAAGCTAAGAGTGATCTAATACATCATGATGGGTAAAGAGTGCCCAGGTTCAAATCCTGGCTCTGCCAGTGACTAGCTGGGTGATTTTGGACAAGTTACTCAACCTCCCCATGACTCTGTTTCTTCATCTGTGAATCAGAGATGACAGTAATGGTGATGAAGATAGTGCCTATCTCATTTATTGGGGAGATTAAGTAAATTGGTTCCTGTATCTTCCTTAGAGTAGTTAGTACCTGACACATAGTAAGCACTTGCTCCAAAAATATTGAGTGCCTGCCATGTGCCAGGCACTGGGGATCCAGCAGGGACTTTTTTGTTGAGCTTACATTCTAGTGGGAAAGGCAGTTAATAAATATATAATACATCAGCTGGTAAACATTTTAGAAAAAATAGTAAAGCAAGTAAGGTGGGAGAGAGAGAGATAGGAGGTGAGACATAGGGTTGTCAGGGAGGCCACCTATGGAAGAGTTTGAGAAGATTCCTAATGGTAAGGAGGGAATTGTTTGGATGTCTGGAAGAAGTTGCTGGCATAGGGAACTACAAGGGCAAAGTCCCCAGGGTGATGTATATGGGTGCAGCTGGAGAGCAGCGACTAAAGAGATAAGTAACTAGAAATGGACTAGGCCAGTGGTTCTCAACCTTCCTAATGCCGCGACCCTTTAATACAGTTCCTCATGTTGTGGTGACCCCCAACCATAAAATTATTTTCGTTGCTACTTCATAACTGTAATGTTGCTACTGTTAGGAATCGTAATGTAAATATCTGATATGCAGGATGTATTTAGGCGACCCCTGTGAAAGGGTCGTTCGACCCCCAAAGGGGTCGCGACCCACAGGTTGAGAACCGCTGGACTAGGCCATGTAGACCATGTGAAGATGGCTTTTACTCAGGAGAGCTAGGGAGACATTGAGAGGTTTCTCAGCAAAGGAGAGACATAGTTTGCCATCTGTTGTAGATGCATCCCTCTTGGCTGTTGTGTGGAGTGACTCGTCTTTGTGGGAAGAGTGGTATGTGGGAGGCAGGGCAGACGCAGGCCTTAGAAGGCTCCTGCATCAGCCCAAGCGATTTACAATGCCGGCTTTGACACGGAGGAAGTGGTGAAGATGTGAGAAGCCGTGGGCCCTTGCTAAGTCCTAGCTGTTGTCATTAGGTAGCATTGAGAGTTCATATCAACTCCTAAGCCTCAGTTTCCTCACCACAAAATTAAGGGGTTGGGTTCATTCATTATTCCTTCTTGGCTCTTACAAAATTCTGGTTTCTGAAATGCTGTGTAAGTAGCATCTACATTTACTAGTAAATGGGTGGAGAGTGGGTGCTGCTGAGTAAAAATAATCTTGGGTTCAATCTTTTGATAAATCGTTTTGTGGGGGTGAAGAATAACCCTTTTATTTCTTTGGTAAAATAGAGTTGCCGATATTTGGATTGCTTCAGATGAGTTCCTTACATTTTGGGAATGTAAAGAATAGGAAAGTGCTGAACCTGCCCCGAATGGAAAAGTTTGAACATGGAAAATTGCCTTTTATTCCAAAAATGCTCCATTCCTTCTCAGTCTATAGAATGGTTCATCTTGAATATGGAGAGCAGAAAGGAAGCCTACATGAATATTTCGTTATAATTAAAGCTGACCAGAATCAAACTACCCCTTACAGGGAAAAGTCATTAGCAGATTAATGAGTTATAGAACTTAAAACATTTTTTTTTTTTAGTTGTATAGTGAAGGCTAGACAAACTTTGTGCTTCGATTATAGGCATTTGTCTCTAAAAAGCATTCACCGAGATTGTGACTTTTTTTATGAAATGGACTGCATTACTACTGGAAACTGCTAAAAAGGCTAAAGAAGGGGGAAGGCAGTCAAATAGATGAGATTAGCACTAAAAAGAAAGCAAGAACAGGTTTTTCAAGATAGACTGCCAAATGACCTTCCCAGATGAAAAGAGGAGATCACTTCCTTTTTCCTTCCTATTTAATATGTTTTATTCAAATGTATACATACAGAATTTCTTACATTGGGAGGAGAATACAGCACTGACATCAATTCAGCAGCCATCCTATGTATTGCTATGTGCTATGATACCATGGACCGAAAGGATATTTGGGGATACACGACGCTGTCCTGGAGGAGCTTACCGCTCACTCTGGGGGCCAGGGCAGAATGTAGTGGTGGGTTAATAAAGGCTTCAGACCTATAGCCTGAGCACTGGAGTGAGGGGTGGGGGTTGGAGGAGGTAGGGCATTTGGAGGATTAAGGCCGAAGGCAGCTTTCTGGAGGAGACAGATATCTGTGACCACACGCGTACCAGCATCTTCCACAGTCCCAGAGAAGCAAGTCTTCGAAGACCTCACTGTAGCTCATCGTCTGAATTCTGAACCTACTCCTTTCATGTCCTGGCCACCGGCTGAACCCTGCTCCCAGAGACTGCTCTTTGTCTCCTGCCCTGGTCCAGGCAGACTTGTGCCTCCTTCCCTTGTCCTGTCACTGTGTTCTTAGGCTTCCACTGGGCCCCGATCTTCTAGGCCTGACTTTGACCTTCAGACCACCTGTTTTCTACCTCTGTGTATATACTGTATGCACATGGGCTAGCGCTGGGGTTCTCAACCTCAGCACTATTGACACTGTAGGCTGCGGAATTCTTTGTTGTGGGCGGCTGCCCTGTACATTATAGGATGTTGAGCAGTAGATGCCAGTAGTATCCCCCTTCCCAGTGTGACAACAAAAAAAATGTCCTCAGACACTAACAAATGTCGGGGGCAGGGGGCAAAGAACCAGTTATCTAGAAGGTGCTTTAAATGCCCATTATTCACATTGATATGAGATATGAAATTCATCTATTCTAATCTAGAGTAGAAACTTGCACATCAGCAACACCTACCTTTTTATTTGGCATCTCCTGGTTTCCTGACACTGCAGGAGCACTTCACCAACCTTCCTCAGAGAACCCCCCAGAGGAAGGAGGGCCCCTGTGCATGCCATGTCTTTGTCATACCGAGACATTTGTGTGAATACTGCATCCTGTTCCACAGTATTGCCATGTTTATTTTTGGCATAAACATAATGTTCTCTCCACACCCTTGAATGCAGTAAAATGAAAGCATCCCAAACATTTACCTCCTTCATCCTGTGGTCTGATTCCCTCCCCACCCCAGGCCCCACAGGGTGGTTGCAGCACCCGTTGAGGAACAGGGCGCTGCAGTTTTATAGGCCAGTTGGGCTTTCCACTTTCCATAATCGTTTTTTGTCAGGCCCGGCTCTGCTCATGATAAATATTCATGTAGGCAGCAAAATATACAAACTCAGCACTCTAGTGAGGTAGGAGGGCAAACGTTTGTCAAGTGATTTTTTCTGTCTTTCAATTCATGATTAAAGTCCTGAATTGTTTTGGGAACTATGGTCACGGTTATCAAATAATTATGTTGGACACACACAAAAATTTGTGTTGTAGCAAAGTAATTAGGGGGCAGCCATAAAACTTGGCAGTCAATGCCAGTTCCTAACATTTCATTATTTTCGGTTTATTTATAAGGAAACTAGAACCAGCCTCCTGCTTGTGTTTTAATTACTTAGCACAGGCAGGATTGATTTCAGAAAACCTCCACACTGAAGAGTAATGAGCCCTTCCCAGGAGGAGTCCAGGCTTCAAAGGTATGCGCTGCTTCCTGCCCCAGGGACGCCCCTGTGGGCCCTTCAGTGTGACTGAGACAGCCCCGAAGTGCACTGTCTCCTGAGAGAGCTCACTCCCGTGAAAGGTGACAAGAGCCCTCGATGATGGGGAAGCAGAAAGGACACTGCTCCCAGCTTTCAGAACTGGCGACATGAGTGGAAGATATTTTAAGATTCTTTCAGAAGGGCTTTGTGCCTCTAATGAGAGCCAAGGACATACTTCTGCGCCTTCTCTCATCTTTAGGCAGTTCCAACAGGCAGATCTGCTCTTCCACCAGCCCTTTACCAGTAGGGCATGGGACTGGCCTGGGTGGCGGTGCCCCAGGCCTAATTTCACTTTTCTCATTATCCTTAACAGTTTCTGTTTTCTTTTGCTGCTTCATAGTCCTCCTTTTTATTGTCTCTGTGATTTTATGTTCTTGTTGTCAAGTGGCATAAAGGATTTCTTAGTTTTGGAGTTTCATGGAAACTTGCTGGGTGGAAGGAGACCAAGATTCAGATCTAGCAGTCATTTGGAAATCCTGAGTAATGTGGAGGAAAACTCAGGAGGCTTGCTGCCAGGTGGTAATTTGATTTTTAGAGGTACCGTGTTTGGGTGACTTCAAAGGTGAATGACACAGAGTAGGGATTAGCACCGCACAGCTTCTGCACGAACCACCAGCCAGGAGAGACCTGGGAACTTAAACTTAGCATCCAAATGTGACTAACCAAAGTGATTCAGAGAAGACAGAGTTCATTTATTTATTTACTTTCTTAAAAAACAGCCACACACACACTTGAACTTAAGGTACTTGCCCTCCATTAAGATATGAGTTTTTTAGGGGTATCTCTACCCTTCTCATATTATATTTTCCTCCCTGCACACTGCCTCTCCCATCTGACCATATTCAGAATGGGTCTAAGAGCTCCCCCACCAACATAGCAACATAGCCCAGAAAATAAAAATGACATGTTTTGAATTCAGAGGCTGGTTCCATCCCACCTCCAATCAGATCACATGTTTTCTTATCTAAATTTAGCTTATCTGATCACATTGATTGTAGGCCTGAATTGTTCAAATGATTAACTTATCTAATAGAGAAAGATTAAGTTAAAGAAATGTTTTAAATTGCAGAAGTTCAAATTGGCAGTCTATATTAGAGTCCTTACATTTCATTCATTCATAACTTGAACTTGCTTGGCTCGGCGCTGCTTCCAAACCTACCACTTAGTTGGAGTTCTATACATTCAGGAGGGTTTGGCTGGGCACGACTTTTTTAGATTGCCTGATATGTGTGTGTGCACGTGTGTGCATGTGCGTGTGAAGGCGGGGTAGAGTAGGGAGGGAGGGAAAAGCAATCCTCATTTTAATTACCAGGAATAAACAAAAGTAACTTGGGGAGTGGAAGCAAATTAGCTGTCGGTGCTTGTTTTTGATCCCATCGACTTAATGTCAGGGAAAACTCCATCAACAGGAGAGAAGAACCTCTTACCTTTTTTTTTTGAGATGACTGAGGCAGAGATACAAGTATTAACTATCCGTCCTTTAAAGCTTTCTCTGCTAACAGTTGCTCTCCTTGACACCAATTTGGAATCTTTCCACACTTAACTGGGTTCCTGGCCCATTCTGCCCACCTTACACATCAGTCCAGTGGCACTTAACGTAATGATACCAGATAGCTCATTTTCCCCAGTAATCCCCGCTTTTCCCCTGGACAGGCTGGCCCCCTTCATTCCTGGCCCTTCAGACTCCTCCCTACTCCTTCCATTAGCTCTGCACTCTCCTCCACAGCTTGTCTTTGGTAAGTCAGTTCTCAGTCTGACAGAGAAAATTAGAAACAAGCATGTCCCATTTACATATGGGTCTTTGGCAGGAGTTCCTGTCTTTGCTGAGGCCACCATTGACAGACTGATGCCACACCCAGGAGAGGCCAAAAAATGGTTCCCATTTCAAGCCAAAGTGATATGACTAACAATTATTCTAGAGAAGCAACGACTAAGGGTTGGCTTAGAAGATTTATACAGATTATCCCATGCCAGGCGATAAGCTATAAATAGAAATAAGAAGGAATGAGCTTAGTGAGATGAGAGTATGGGTACAATTTCTGAGTATGGGCAGAATGATTTTTTTTTCAGGTCTAGAGATGATTTTAATCAATGTACAGTGTTGTTTATTCTTAGTGCCCTGAGAGCAGCTCATTAAACCAGCCACAGGTTGGCCCAAAAGCCCTTAGACATGTTTACACAATGCTAACATAGAGCATCACCCAGGAATCTGAGAGTACCCACATCTTTTAGTAAATTGTAATTCAGTTCCTTTGTTGAGCTTGTGTTTAGTCAGTGTAATCTTTTAAGAACATGTTCTGTGTAATGTCAACCCTCCTTAAAATCATTTGGTGGTTCTCATGGTAGTTAGAATGAAGCCCTAATTTATTCCATGGCTTTTAAGGCCCTCCAGGATCGGGCCCCATCTCTCCAACTTCACCTGGGTACCACATTCTCCCTGGCTTACTACTGTTCAGCCTAGACTGGCCTCCCTGGTGTTCTTCCAACAGCCAAGCACACTCATTTCATTTGCTGTTCCACATGCCTGAAACTTGCTTCCCCAGGCACTTTTCTGGTTTCTCACCCTTAATTTCTTAAATCAAGTGTCTTGCGAGAGGCCTTCCTTAATATAGGCCCTAGCCAGGGCTCTTTACTGTGTGGTCATCTTCTCCACAGTATTTACCTCATCTCTAATTGTCTCATTTATTACCTGGTGTGGCCTTTCCACACCAGAGGGTAAGAGCCTCGAGAGCAGGAGCTTGTCTTTCTTCTTTGTGACTGTGAGAAGTGAAGATTTATTGACTGAATGAAGGAGTTGATGAATAATGCTCGGCCCCAGATCTGCAGGTGAAGAGCTGTGGCAGATTCCAGGGTCCCAAGGCCAGAGTCCACTCGTTTTCCTCCTGTGACACAGCCTGAGACCAGTCAATCCTTGGGTTGACATGGGAAGACTCTGAGAAGTCTGGATTCTAGATGCCATAGGGGTTATGTGTGAGTTCTCGTTAGACATTAGCCAAAGTTGTTGAACCTAAATTTAAAATGTTTGAAAGCGCCCCTGTAAGTGATGAGAAATTGAATTGGTGAGATCAAGCACAGAAAAGATGAAAGTGAGGGGGAAAGCCCAAAGCACAAGCACAGCAATACAGTGGCTGCATTGGTGGTATTACTGTTTCCTCATCCCGATTAGTAGACTCAGAGACTCTTTAAAGTAACCCAATATTGAACATTAGCTAGAACATCTCTAAGTGGGATGAGTAATGAAGGTGCTGTCTTTCTAGATTACCTATTTAATCGTATTTAACAAGATTTACATAGTGTTCACTATACTCCAGGTACTTCTCCCAATAGTTGACAGTGCCTTCGCAGGTTAAGGTCTCCGCAAGCAGTAGTTGGGACAGACCTTGGGGTATGTAGTAGGGACTACCACCTTTGAAGAGAAGGAAGAGAAAGCACTGAGAAGTCCAACTGCGATGCAGGCTCAACAAAGTCTCTGCCGACCTGGCAGGAAGCCTGAGGGGAGCGCTGCCCGTCAGTGTGTTCTGCACCAGACCCGAATCGCTCGCCTTCACACACCCACCTTGCTCAGTCACAAACCTGGGCTTCCCCAGGAAGGGCTTGGCCTCGGGCAGCAAGTTCTCCCTTGAAGGGGAGTCAGGGCAGTGCACCTCTGT